CAATGAGATCTTATAGTTTTAGTAATTAATAACTGTGATCTTGACTTATTCTAAGTGGGAATCAGCATACCTTTAGAGGAATCAGTTGATGGTGCTTGAGATTTGGAGGCTGTCATCACGTATGAACTTTCATCCAAAGAGTCACTGTAAAGAAAACAAAGGAGAGGATATTGCATGATGCTTTCTGGAATGAGAGGGAATAAGGAGTTTGCTATTTGAGCTTAAAAGAAAAAAACCAAAAAAAAAAGGGCCGATTAGAGAAGGTATTCCAAATATTTTGATTAAGAATGATTGAATGATGCACCTTGAGGATAATCATTTGGTGCGGTGCACCTTTGTTTTCAAACCCTGCCTAAAAAATGTTTGCTTCTTAAAATGAAGCAAACTGGCAATTAGTGGAAGAGCTGGTTTCCCGATTTATAGTCCTGAATTCTTCCACTAGTCCAGGCTGCTGTTACTTTTGGAAAGTTTGCTGCAGTAGGCCTAAGGTGGCTGGGTGGCTGCTGTTTGATGTGTCATTTTTAGCGAGGGGCACTGATACCAGAACTGGAGCGGTTGGTTTTTCTAGTACTGAGCCGCAGTATGCCTCTCTGTGGTGCCGTTGTTCAGCTCAGCATTCTATGATCTTTTATCAAGGAAGGTAATGGGTGACAACACTTGGCTAATGGAGCGTTTAATAAATCTAAGGCATGTCTTTCCTACATGTGTTATTTTCTGTCAGCTACAGAATCCTTCCTTTTATTGCCCCCCAAACTGGTCGGGTGCCCCCTGTCGGTCAGCCATTGCGGTTATTTTCAGCCTCAGTGATTCTCACCCTTGGGCTTCGCCGTCCAGCAGGCGGCGGTAGGTCTCGATCTCCAGCTCCAGGCGGGTCTTGACGTTCAGCAGCCGCTGGTAGTCGGCGTTCTGGCGGTCGGCGTCGGCGCGCACCTGCAGCAGCTGCTCCTCCAGGCTGCCGATGAGCTGCTGCACCTGGGACAGCTGGCCGCAGTAGTCGGCCTCGGTTTCGGCCAACGAGTCCTCCAGGGATTTCTTCTGCACGTGGGAGGGGAATGACACAGACGTAACAATGGAGGGGACCGAAATGCGGCAGGCAGCCAGTGGTCTTACTAATTTGGATGCAACATTTTCTTTGCAAAGTCGAAAGGAAGCCGCGTCTTTCTGCGCGCGCCCTACCATGGCGAGCTGGGACTGGAGCTCGATCTCCAGGTTTTGAAGCGCGCGCCGCAGGTCGGTGACCTCGCTCTTGCTGGACTGAAGCTGCTCCGTGTTGGTGCTGATCTCCTTCCTGAGCTCCCCGCTCTGCCGCAGTAAAGAGGGGCGAGAGGGGACGAGGGGTGAGCCCTGCTTTCCCCTCGTTGGTCTTTAATGTGAACGTATCAAAGCCTTGTGTTTTTGTTAGTGGTATCCTACCTTTTCGATGAACCAGGCTTCCGCGTCCTTCCGGTTCTGCTCGGCGATGGCTTCGTACTGTGCCCGCATGTCGTTGAGGAGCCTGGTGAGGTCCACTCCCGGGGCAGCGTCCATTTCTACGCTGACCTGGCCTGCGCCTCCTGCCTGGAAGCTTTTGAGCTCCTGGGGGACAACGAGTGAGAGAGGAGGGCGCGGGGGCCCGTTATGACTTTCGTGGGACCCTTCCTACATAAAAAATAGGCAACATATTTTACGACTGCATTGGCATAAAGATAAACATTAACACAGTATCTTCAAACATTTTTAACCTTGAAGTTCATGTTTTTCTTCTGATTTTCAAAATCACCGCGCAGTGCCTACCATACGGAAGGGATGAGCTGGCCCTGCTTCTTGGGGATCCAGGACCTTTACAAAAAGGGAAGGCCTGGTGGAAACGGTACCCCGGGGGGTTTCAACTACAGCTGCCAAAGCAAGGGCTGCAGACAGTTCATAGGCTTGTACACCGTTTGTACCATAGTCATTGATTTCCAGTAGAAAGCTGTTTAAAAGCCAGTTGCCAGCATTATGGTTCATAAATGTCCTGTCTGTACACCAGCTCCTGGTATACATTACAGCAGATCAGAGTTCTGTGTATGTATTACATGGGTATAACCAGTGTCTCTAGCATATATAACATTATGTATTATTAGGAGACCTTTTTTTTGAACTTCAGAAATACTATATTAAAAAAGTCGCTGTATCAGGACTATTAAAATTATGATTATCCTTACCTAATGATGAAAACAACAAAATCACGAAGTGCCTCTAATGTATAGGAACCACTATCAATACCACCACCACCACCATGACCATCACGTGCGCGTGCGCACACACACACACAGACACACACACACACATACTCAAAACAAATGGTAGTATTAACAGGGAGGTAATGTATCATCCATATCTCTTCAAACTCTGGATTTAAAATCGTGATTTTTGAGTCTGGGAGCAAAAAGCAGCTTAGAGAGCTGTGCTTTCTGGCCTCACCTCCTCGTGGTTCTTCTTCAGATAGGCCAACTCCTCCTGGAGATTCTCGATCTGCATCTCCAGGTCGGCTCTGGCCAGGGTCATTTCATCTAGCACCCTGCGCAGGCCGTTGATGTCAGCTTCCACGTTCTGGCACAGGGCCAGCTCATTCTCATACCTGAAAGCCAAGTGCAGAACAGTTTAGGGGATCAACACACCCATTTGATGAAGGCCCCCTGCATAAATCTGGCAGCCTTGTGATGTATGCATGCTGTTTTTCTTTTTCTTTTTCTTTTTCTTTTTCATGGTAGTTTACTACTCAATTAGAGAGAAGTGGAAAACATTATGAAATGATATTTTTCTACAAGCAGTGATCCCCAATAGCACTGCATCCCAGGCTACAAATTCCCTTCTGGCTGGCTGCTCTGACTACGGACAACAGCAGCCCCTCTCTAAGTAGAGTTTCTGATAGAATCCTAAAAGCAGTTGAAAATAAAACGATAATGAGTCATCTTGCTTAAGTTTTATTCATGATTTAATTTAAAACATCAATACTCCTTTAGTAGCTTGTATCAAGATTTTACAGGTTCAGGTTCCTCACCACTACCACATCCTGAGTGGAAATTTTGTGGAGCAAAAGGAACATTAGTATTTCTTCCTTATGTCTGGGAGGGTGGAATGTGGACAAAGAGGAGGGAATTTAAAAATAAGTGCATGGTTAATACTTTAGTTGTACGAAATCAGAAAAAAGATCATTTCATTTAACTCCCGGGCGAGAACATTATTAATTCATTTTGATACATGAAAGATGGAGATTTAGAACATTGGTAGAATTATCATGTCACATCATGAGTCAATAGCAAATGTCAAATATGGTAATCCACAGCCCTGGGTTTAAACAACTTCTAATTAAGGACATGTAATGTGAATTGCGTTTGAATCTAGTTACTTTCTTGGAGGCTCAATGTGAATTTTCCGAAACATTAAATGCATGGAGCATGTGACCTACAGAAGGTTTGAAACAGTTGCCATCAACGAGAGTAGGAAAATGGAGAAGAAGAAGAGACACTGGGACATGTCAGTCATTGCTAGTCTTTTCTACTCACTTCATCCTGAAGTCTTCGGCAGCTAGTCTTGCATTGTCGATCTGCAGGATGAGCTGGGCGTTTGCAATGCTGGCAGAAATGATCTGGCAAAACAAGGGAAGCAAGGTTGTGAGAGACCAGTGTTTTGCAAATATATTTTTGACAGGAAAAAAATGTTAGGTGATGTTAAAATGGTATTTTACTAGGAGTTTAAGGCCATTTGACTTTTTGAAAGAAATTCAAGACATTTGAAATTTGGAAGAGTCATTGATTTTTGAAAGAGATATATTTGTAAAATATTATTTAAAAATTAAGAAACATACACTTCCTACAGAAGAAGTAGTGGAGATACCGTCACTTTATGGTAAATGATAAAATGAAACTAGGTATCTTGAGATGAGAAATTACTTCAAATAACAGTTGAATTGAAAGATAGCTGAGTTTTTGGTGATTTATCACTGTAAAATATTGAAACAGCAGAAAAGAAAAGTGAAAAATAATTCCCAAAGCCCCTGCAAAAAACCATATTGTTACCTTATTCCTGAGGTCTTCAATCAGTGGATAGTATTTACTGTAATCATTCTGTGACCTGGGGTCTCCAGCCCCAGATCCTTGGGTTTCGTACCATTCTCGAATTTTGTTTTCTAGCTCGGTGTTCGCCTCTTCTAGAGCTCGAACCTTATCCAGGTAGGACGCCAATCTGTCGTTAAGATTTTTCATAGTTTCCTTTTCTGATCCAGAAAGAAGGCCTCCATCGTTGCCAGAGAGGATGCCAAGAGACCCACCTCCTGGGCTTCCCCCAAATGCGAGCCCCAGGGCCCCAAAGCCACCTCCCATGGCTCCCCCGTAACCAGTGCCCATTCCTCCCGCAAAGGAACTGGCAGAGCCACCACCCAAGCCAGAACTAGAACCGAACATGGAGGCAGCAGAAAAGCCACCCGCATAGCCGCCTCCAAAGCCAAAGGCGCTTCCCGCATAGCTGCTTCCGATGCTGGAGGAAGACATGCCCCTGGCTCTGCCCAGTGTCCCGCTCTGGGAAGAGAGCCGCTGGGGCAGTCCAGAGGTTCGCACGGAGAGTGCCATGGTGATACTGGAGAGATCCACAGCCTGGGGAGGGTGGCCACAACCTGAGAGGAAGCAGTGTCAGCAAGGCAGGAAGGTTACCTTTTATAGGTCGTGGAATGGGTGTTGGCAGTTGAAAAGTTCACTCTCTCCATTCAGAATATAGTGCCCCCCTCCCCATCTTTTTTTTTTTTGCCAGCTCAACAAGAAAATGATTTATGCATATGGACAATTCATTGGTATAGAAATAATTGAATAATTGTTCCCATCACACATTTGTTATAGGAAGAAGAAATCTGGGTGGAGTGCAGATAGGTTGTCATAAGGAATTTTTCTTACCCAAATTATTCTATTGCTTGTATTCTCAGCACTGCCCAGTTGTCTTATGCACAGTGGGAAAGCCATGAGTGAGTGCTGAATAGTTAAATTGATCAATACTCCTTTCTAAGTCTGCCTTCTTGAAGTTCCTCACTCATATTTCCTGTTTGCTTCCTTTAGAAAACACGACGTAAACCATCCGATCATGATCCAGTCTATCATCTAGTGGAATGTAGTTTCAGAAGCATTTGTGAAATGCTGTGCTGGAGGGTGGGGAACAAATGCACTTTCCAGATTGATACTGGAATTTGAATTTTTGGGAATTTAAAAACTTTGTCATTATGTTGTTGTATGATTTCCTTTTTTTTTTCCTGATCTTGAAAGAAGACCTCTTAAACTCTGAAAATTGTTATTTTTAAGTAGAATATTACAGTACGTTCAGCGGATCTTCCTTTTACATAAAAATTGACCTTAGTAAACTTCATGAAATCAGGAGCCTTGTCTGATCGGTCATTACTCTACCCCCAGCATTGCTAGTGTATCAAAAAACAATTAATTTTTTTGATACTGAAATTGCATCAGTGCTCAATCAATCCTCAACTCCTCCCCACAAATATCCAGATATTATCTGCTCTGACTCTAGCCTCCCTGAGGGTGAGGTTCTTCAATTCTGTGAATAGTCCTATGCACAGTCCTGTGAACAACCAGAACCAGGATTACCCACTGGTGATTTGGGGGCAGTGCAGAGGGGGTTCTGTCTGAAGCCCATGTCTGACCTGTATAGGGAATACCCAGTATCAATTCTGACAAATGGAAGGACCTTGTCATCCTTTTGATCACTTTCCTAGGGTCAAGAATGGTGAATCCAAGGTGAAATCTGACTACACCTCTCTTCTACCTTTTTATAGAAGAGACGTATGCCAAGGGACATATTTCCTCCCCAACCTATACACATTGCAAGGAGAAAGCAAGTAGGGTTCCTAGGTAAAGGGGTTTTAAGCAAGCGATAATGCAGAAATTATATATTCTCATTCACAATAGATATAGAAAGGATGCAGAAATCTAATGCAGACTCAGCTTGAAGAGAAGGGCCGTAATCCGTCCATTGGTTTCATTTCTTGAGAGAATGCAAATTTACAGGGGTCTCAGCCTCATATGGAGATTCTCCCCCTCCCCCCCAAGGATTCCTTTAATCTGTGTTACAAGCGTTTTCTCTGAGCCTGTCCTTGCTGGACTCATTAGTGGAGATTGTGTACTTACTGTGTTCTGGACATTGGGTTGTGGCTACCTCTTAAGGTGGATACTTTTACCCCATTTTAAAGATAAGCAGTCTGAGGGCCAGGATGTTAACTGACTTGTTCAAGGCCACACAACCAGGAGAAGACACTGGGTCTGCAGTGCCTTCTATAGACACACAAACCTGCCTACCGTGAAAACAAAAGGAACAAGGTTCACTCTGACCCCCAGATCGTGAGACTGGGTTTCTGCCCTGCATATCAATCAGGAGTTTAATTAACTCTTTCCTTTTTAGAAAAGCTTCCTCCTTGAATTTCATTTCTCAGTGTACCGGCTGAGACCCAGATATCTTCATGGTTTATAAGGAGTGATATTACATATGTAATCCTGCGAATATGTAGGCAAATGTATTTCTAGCTATATTTTTGGACATGTGACCTCATCTACAGAGATTTTATAAAGTACTAGTTAAACTTGCACTTCCCACACAGGAACTTGATGTTATGATTATAAATTATTAGTCACTCACAGCAGCATCTCTCTAAGACAGAGTGATCCCATTTTATTGCATTAGAAATGAAATCAGACTGTTACTTGCTTACAGAGTCAGAAGTCATGTGCCAAATTTAGAACTGTGACTTAGTGATATGATCACGTTTTATGGTAATATGATTAACTTGAATTTTTGAACTTGGAACCACTTTTGTGCCGAAATGTATACTTTCCAACTCTAATGCCCATATGTAAATTTTAAATAATTTTGTTCAACATCTATACATTATGTATATACATTATCCCTTTGTGTTTCTATACACATGATAGATTATCCTAGACCGTAAACCTCTTAGGTGAGGGTTATGTCTTCTTCATGTTTTATCCTGAGTCTTAGCCTAGTGATTGGCTAACTTCATTCTTGCACACTTGGAGTTATTTCACTTGAAAGAACTTAATCCTTAATATATTTGACTGTGTCATTTAAAATTCATTTCATTTGGAAATGACTTCGCTCTAATTTACTGGTATGCTTTGACTAAGATTTATTCTGAATCCAACCATCAATGAGGAACAACTTCAGAAGTTGAAAAGAGAAATATTTCTTCTTCAGTGGCTTTTTTTTTTTTGGTGGGGGACGGAGGGCAAAGTTAAAGAATTAAGTCTCTATTTTAGAGTTTTTAGATGTGAAAATAACTTTCTTTGACAGCTGTAAAAGTATAGGAAGGTGGTAAGGTATAAAGTGGGAACAGTCTTGGCCTTGTTGGCAAAATGATTACATGGGTTGAGGCCCAGAGGACAATGACTATAACCAAGGTGAACTGTTCAAAAGAATTACGTCTTCTATTTTTGTAGAGTTTAGGGAATACTCAAAATGAGGGCTATTATTTACGTGACACTTGTAAATCTTTAGATTTTTATTAAGTGAAATGTGTGCTCATCTTTTCATGTCAGATCAGTTAGTTTCCTGGTCTTTGACTGCAGAATTTTCCTTCTGAGTTCTTTCTCTTAAAGACGTACCTTTCACTTTGTGCAATTTACTGATCACTTGGTTCGTAATACCTTTTTTCTTTTTTTTTTTTTTTGCTTTGGATAACATTTTAACATCCTGTGAGCGAGTGAAAGAATATTGAGTTACTGGCGTTTTACACTGTGCTTTTGAGAAAAGGATGAACTGACACCATGGTGTTCACATGCTGGAGGATGACTTTTGGACTTCAGAGCTTGGTGATTCTCAAAAGCAAGGGAGGCTTGTACGTGGTGAGAGAGAGGAGGAGGAAGATAAAATAAGACTACGGTAAGGTGATCTTGGAAGTGAGTCGAGGAGAGAGAAAACAGATGTTTGAAGGGAAATTGAAAAATAGAAATTGCTAACCAATGCTTTAAGTTGGAATTGCTCTTTGAGGGTGTCATAAGGTGCCTGAGACCACCCCTAAGTGAGTGTGAGTGAGAGCAGACGGTGTCCACTGGTCAAGTTTTGATTTTAGGTCATTTCATGTCATTTTTCTTTTTAGATATTGTAAAGGCTCTGTGTAGAAGGAATTCTCAAAGCCCAGAAAAAGAATTGTCCTGTCCATCCTGACCTCATCTGTAGGGGTTCTGAGTTTGATAGCTCCACTTCTGCACCGATAATTTCATATAAAGCCATGAAATATACTGATGGTGGTTCTCATGTGTGATAAAGAGACCTATATTTAAGCACTGTGAATCTTCTCTGGATCTGTATGCCTGTCAGAAACAGGATCGTGCTGTAGAAGTATAGATACAGAGATTAACACTTCACTTTCACACAGTAACTACTGGTAGAACCGGAGGTAGAATCATCTGGTCCCACATGTGTGTACGGTCTCACCTACTAACTTGGAAAGATTACTTGGAAGAAACTAGAGACAGACCAAAAGGCAAGGCTTAATCTTCATTTTTATGATAGGAAATTGAGTCAAAATAATAATGTTACCTCTTTTAACAAAGCGTCATTATTGCAGTTTGAGAGTGGCCATGCCTAGTGAATTTCAAACTCACCTCCTTAATTAGACTCATGGTCTCTGGTGTTTGCATCTCAGGGTCTCAGACTATTCTGGAATGTGTCTTGGTATGTGAAAAAGAATTCACTTATGAAAGTTCTTAGCATCTTTAAAAGCAGTTTACTAACTAAAGTGACTTGGAAGGAAATTAAGAAATAGAACAAGAGTGAAACCTCTTTACTTCTTTGAAAAGCAAAGGAATGAGAATGGGTGAAAATAATATCTTTCCTGACAAAGACTGTGCCGAATCAAATCTTGTGTGTGATGTTAGCTGGACGTGTGTGACAACAGTGTGTTGTAAGTCACCATGGCTAGTGAAAATGACCACTAGAAAACAACAAAACAAGAAGCATAGGCAGATGTTCAGGTGGGACCCAGTAATTGTTTGTCATGTAATTAGTTGCTTAAAAGGATGTCATGACTTTAGACAAACAGCCCTGAAGTTCAATTTTGCTCCGTTACTTGGTAACTGACTGCGGGAGAGTCCTTATTTCACGTCTTCATAGGTAAAATGGGGAGAACACGATAAGGTCAAACCACAGGAAACTGCTATTTTTGAAGGTCAAAAATGATCACATTTTGGTAAGTTCATATTCACATGATTCAACCCAACCTCATGGGTGGAAGATTTTAATTTAATTGTGAAGATTAAATGAGAAATGCATATAAAATGCTGGCACACTGTTTAGCACATATTAAGGGCTCAATAAACGGTGGCTATTACTATTAAGTGAATCACATTATTTTCAACGTAATAATCACACTCAAAATCCTATTTATTTACCAACTCATATATCAAAATTTAAATCCAAGCTATCCATTTACTAGAATACAATGATGGAGGGCAAATTTATTTTTCCTGTAAACATCTGCAAGGCAGTTATGGCTCACTAAAATGCAAAAAGAGTGAGAACACAACGTGTAACCTTTTGGAGTCAGATGTGCTACCGTTGTGCCGCCAGGTCTCTCGGGG